GGCACAGAGAGAGAGAGAGAGAGAGAGAGAATCCTAAGCAGGCTCCAAGCCATCAGCGCAGCTCTCACAAACCCTGAGATCATGACCTGAGCCAAAATCAAGGGTCAGATGCTCAGCTGACTGAGCCACCCAGGTGCCCCTGGAAAAGATAACTGTCAAAAAAAAAGAGCAACATACTTGACTGGAAACAAGTGAGCTAAGAACACCTGACACATTTAAAGAATTTGGAAGTTTTACCTCCTGCACTTCAACTCCTGGGGGTTTTAAAAAGACATGCCTTGGGGTGCCTGGGTGGCTCAGTAGGTTAAGCGTCCAACTTCAGCTCAGGTCACGATCTCGCGGTCCGTGGGTTCGAGCCCCACGTCGGGCTCTGGGCTGACCGCTCAGAGCCTGGAGCCTGTTTCAGATTCTGTGTCTCCCTCTCTCTCTGCCCCTCCCCCATTCATGCTCTGTCTCTCTCTGTCTCAAAAATAAATTAAAAAAAAAGTTAAAAAAATAAATAAATAAAATTAAAAAGACATGCCTTAGATCAGAGCTGACCAACAGAACCTTCTGCAATGATGGAAATGTTCCATGTCTACACTGCCTGATATAGTGGCTTCTGCCTACATGTGGCTATTGTACACTCGGGACGTAGCTAGTGCAACTGAGGGACTTTTTAGTTTTATTTCCTTCTATTATAAGTGTAAACAGTCATACGTGGCTAGCTGCTTATGGAATTAGATGGCACTCCTTTAGATTTTTCTAGAACTTTCTCTCACACTGGACTTGAGGAGCCAGAAGAGTGACTTTAAGCTCACAGGCTCTGGAAGCAGTGTGCCTGGAATCAAATCCCAGCTCTGCCACTGGAGGATCTCACAAAAGTGCCTTATGCCTCAGTTTCCGCAACTGTGAAAGAGTAATGCTAATGATGCCTGCCTCATATAAGGTATTGGGAGGAATAAATAGATTAATGGAAGTAAGAGTCTCCAAGGGTATTATGACCCATTTACTCAATACTAACAGTGCCCATGGGGCACCTGGGTGGCTCAGGTGGTTGAGCATCCAACTCTTGATTTGGGCTCAGGTCATAATCTCACAGTTTGTGAGATCGAGCCCCACATCAGGCTCTGTACTGACAGCATGGAACCTGCTTAGAAATCTCTTTCTCTCTGTCTCTCTCTCTCTCTCTCTCTCTCTCTCTCTCGGAAGGCGGGGGGCGGGGATGAAGGAAGACAGAAGAGTGAATGAAGTAGGCAGTAAGGTTTTTCATGAAGAGTGAAGACAACTTCTAAAATAAAATAAATGACACAATATGAAAGCTCTCAATAAAAATTTCAGCAGGTGACCACTGAAGATGAAGACAGAGAATGTAGTCTGGAGGAAGACACACTCCCAAGTGGTAGTTGAGGAATTCGATCGCTTGGAGAACCACAGAGAGAGAAAAGAGGGCAAAGGGGTCTACTTAAACACCACATATACAAAACTAAAACCTTCAGGGGTGCCTGGGGGGCTCAGGAGGTTATGCATCCAACTCTTGATCTCCACTCAGATCACGATCTCATGCGTCATGAGCTCGAGCCCCGTATTGGGCTCTGCACTGACAGCAAGAAGCCTGCTTGGGATTCTCCCTCTCCCTCTCTCTCAAAATAAATAAATAAACATTAAAAAAAAAAAAAAAGAAACCTTCCGTCATTTAAAAAGTGTGCTCAACCAAGCTTGTTCAAGACAATACAATTGTCAGGTATGTGACCCTATCTGTCCATGGTATAGTCTAATCCAAAAGTCACCGTTGTCAGTGAAGTGTGTGTTGTGTGGACTTCCCATACCCGCATTTTTATTAACCCTACAGTCACCAATTCCCCAAAAAAGCAGTATTGGGCAAGTTTTCATAACTGTTTATTCATTATAAATAGTAAATATTTACTGCACTTTTTACATGAAAGACATTTTTACAACACATCGTTGTTGGTTGAGGCTGTGACACAAAGCCCATCGCCTTCTAGGACCAACGTATGAACTACTCTGGAACTACGCCTAATCTCACTAACCGACTACATCATCATCCTTAACTCTAAAGGGAATGTATCTGTGCCTACCTCGCTCATGGTTCCAAGAATAGAAAGAAATAAATAACACTGCCTTCCACCTTCTCGTTCCTCATAACATCTCGAAAAACAAATTTATTGACATTCTAAAATGTCACCACACAAACGTATGTAAACCTCAGTTCCTCTGGTCTTTTAATGTTGGGTATCCTTGTATAATTTAAAAGTACATGAGAGCCACGTGGACATTTCTGTTCTTGCCCTGCCTTTCATAGAAAAGAGAAGAATGTAAACGTCGTCATGTTAAAAGCATTATTCTCGAACATGGTCTCTAGTCAAAAGGAGCAAGCCGGGTGTTGGTTGTCCATTAAATGGCGAACATCATGCATTCTACCGCAATGAATCATGGGCTGCGAAAATAAAGCACCTGCAAAAATAGAGTTCTGATTCTGTTTCTACGGCCCTGGCCACTGCCAGAGCATCCGTGAGGTACACAGTATTGCACACCGATAAGCAGCTGTGGGAACGCACGTCACTTCTTCTCCACCACGCCCTCCCCCCAGGTTGGCCAGGTTGGCTTCCAAATGAAAACGAACTGGGAAGATGTCACATACCTCTCCCCACACCGAGAAAGAAAACAAGCTTTTCTTCCTGTTATCCCATATCCTGTCAGCAAGGCTGCCCGCCCGGGACATTATTTATTGACAACTGGGTTACAAAGGAGGGTGAGATCACAAATAATTTATTTGGGAGGTCCTTTACATCTAGTCTAGCTTCCTAAAAATGGTGCCACTTATTTTTATATCGATTTCCAGTGTGTAAAGGTCAAGGATTCCTCCGTTCCTGCTTCGTTACGTGAGCAGTTTTAAGATCGTAGAAGTGTCAGCATTGAAACATCAAACATGTCATACTTTAGAGTACTTTCTGACTTTACTTTAGAAACATTCTGCTTGCCTGAACCAGTCCAGATAAATCTCACACACACACACACACACACACGCACACACAAATGGAATGTTTTAGCTCCTTGATCATCAGCACGTAAGAGTTGGGGTATTTGATATGTAGCCATGTTAAATCATTGCCTTCAAATGTTGTGTTTGTCTTTTTACGGTTCCAGGCCTTCCTTTCTTCCATCGCGTTTGTCCAACATGTTCAAAAGAATTTGAGACCAACTACCGGAGGGGGGAAAAAAAGAAAAAAACCACTCTTCTTGGTCTCCTGTCGAGACTGCCCCCCAAAAAGCTGTTTTTGTTTTCTGAGGAGATTCTTCATGTGTAGGCTGGGGAGACCGAAACAAGGCCAGTTCAAGCTCCAAGTGGACAGTTCACTTACGCGATATCAGGCTTGAGATAATGAAAGGCACCTGCAAGGAAACACACACAGCTCTTTAGGTCACGTTGGGACAATTCACAGCAAGAGGCAAAATCAGCTACAGGCTGACGATGTCATATTTCATACCCTGGTATCAAAGGATGGAGACCAATATTTTTATTCCCGGGACAAGTTTGACACAAGTCTGTGTCCTTGGGATTATACCCCATGTGATCCTTGAGCTGACCTCATTAAGAACATGTGTTTCTAATGCCAGGGGTTATTTCATTTTGGCCAACCCTCGTGTTTTACCTAGTGGCAATCAGGTTTCACATCTCAGCAATTAATAACCGCAAGATGTTGTTGACATCAGTTAAGAAAATAATTAGACAAGGGAGCCCTTGCCGGGACAATCGGCTGGCTTTGCCACAACATTGATACTGGGATGTAAGGCCTAATGGTGCCTCTGCTCCCCCCCTCTTTCTTAAGGAAGGGTGGGGACTTTTCGCCCTTTCAGGAGGAATTCCCCCCCAGAAAGACCAAGGCTTACTTTGTCCATACTGCCCATATTGGTAGCCGGTGACAGGGTCCATACTGTAGCCCGTGGTGCTGTAGGTGGGTGGACAGTAGGACTGAGACGTTGGCAGACTGTCCAAGCTCTTCATATGGTCTAGTCTCTGACTGCAGCTGGCCGACACCGTGGTGGTAGGTTCCAGGCCCCCGGTGAGAGGGGAGAGAGCATAATCGGTCTGGGGCTGATGGGGCACACCACCGTGGTTGGTCAGGAGTCCCATTACCTAAAGTAGACAGGCAGATTGGGAGGAAGTAAGAATGCAGGGCAGACCAGATCAGAGCCGAAAGCTGAAAGCATCACCGGAAAGGTCCCCTTTTTATTTCTTCGGAAATCTGCTGTTATAGGGCCTTCCAGAAGACAATGACTGCAAGGCAAAGGGGCGTGGACACTGCCTCATGCGCAGTGATAACATCTGACTGCAGTTTCAGAAAAAAGGAAGGGGGGGGAGGAAGGTGTAGGGGGAGCGGGGAGGGAAAAGAAAAAGAGGTGGAAAGAGAGACTCACCATGCCTCTCGTGATAAAATCGGACTAGAATTTCAAAGAAGGGGAAAGGAAGGAGGGACAGAAGGACAGAGGGAGACATTATATCTGTTCATGTAGAGCACTGGCTAATCATAGATTACATCTGGAAGTTTCACATGTGATTTTTAAACACACGTTTGCTTATGTTTTTTAAAAAGCTCGGTGGAGTCAAATGAAATCCTCCTTGTGTATTTGCAGATGTCTAGGTCTACTTTCATAGCGTTCCCTCTCCAGAAGGTTCCTCTCCCTAACGCGGCCATCTTTCAGTAATTAGAAATAATTACTCTCTCCCCGATGTTCCCAAGCGTTTTATTCATCCCTCCCACTGCGCGATCATGACTTTGCTCACCTACTTTGAATTATGAGAGTTTTGAGGCTAATAACCTACTTACCTTTATAGTCCTAGAACCTAACTTGGTACTTGTCACATATTAGGTACTGAGGGAAGGAGGGAGGCAGGGAAGGAGGGAGGCAGGGAAGGAGGGAGGCAGCGAAGGAAGGATGAATGGAACGAAGAAAGGGAGTAGTAACCAACTGCCTCCATTACCTGCCTTTTCACTTCTTCTCTAAACATTTCATATATAAGAAGTGTTAAAAGGAAAGAAAAGGTGGAAATGCAAACATGTTCTAAAAAGTCCATTCGGGGGGCGCCTGGGTGGCGCAGTCGGTTAAGCGTCCGACTTCAGCCAGGTCACGATCTCGCGGTCCGTGAGTTCGAGCCCCGCGTCGGGCTCTGGGCTGATGGCTCAGAGCCTGGAGCCTGTTTCCGATTCTGTGTCTCCCTCTCTCTCTGCCCCTCCCCCGTTCATGCTCTGTCTCTCTCTGTCCCCAAAATAAATAAAACGTTGAAAAAAAAAAAAAAGTCCATTCGGTGTTGTTAATAACCCTGGAGAGCAAGAGAAGTTTAAAAAGAAAAGAAAAGAAAGAAAAACCACCTTGTGGTAACAGAATGACTTTCAGATGCGCATGGGGGAGCGTTTCGCAAACTCAAGCTCGCTGACCCTTACAGCCCCTCGTGATGGAAGTTAAGTGGCTAATTAATTTGGCAGCTGGAAAACTGCCACCCGAGAGAGGGAGGGATTTTTCTCGGCTGCTCTGATCTAGCAGCCGGGGTCAAGAAGCAGTTGCAGAAGAAATCCGGTACTGTGTGTAGAGCCCCCCCCAAAATATTACCTGTTTCCCAAGTATTTTAGTGTAGGAGCCCACAACTGCAGGCAATGCCATTATAGTCCTGTTGTGTCAGGGCGCCCGGGTGGTTCAGTCAGTTGAGCATCTGACCTCAGCCCAGGTCATGATCTCGCTGTTCATGAGTTCGAGCCCCTCATCGGGCTCTGTGCTCTGCTGAGAGCCTGGATCCTGCTTCAGATTCTGTCTCCCTCTCTCTGCCCCTCCCCTGCTCATGCTCGCGCTCTCTCTCTCTCTCTCTCTCTCTCTCTCTCTCTCAAATAAATAAAAACGCTTTAAAAAATTATTTAAAAAATATTCCTGTTGTATCTGAGGAAGAAATTAAAAGTACAAATAAGGGCAGGAGGAGAGAGTAGCAATGAACCCCAAGCCCCATCTCTGGCCTCGTGCTGTCCCCCGAGGTAATTCAGACCACAAAATCCTGGATGTAGGAGCTCCAGCAAGGGACTACTCTTGCATCCCAGAAAAGGCCCTAAATTAGATTTCAAAACCGAGGATGCCACAATCCCCTTTGGGAGAGGTCTGCATAATCCTCATAGCCAAACAAAATCTTCTTGAAATGCAGCTTTAAACAGATCTATCTTCAATTAGCCCCATGAGACAAAAGGGGGGGTCTGCTTACCACCTTCTATGGATTACCCTTTCTTCCTGTATTTTAACAAATCACCGATTTCCCTCACCTTTTCCCTTAAGAGCTATTCTCTGTTTCCTTGTCTGCCTTTCATTTGACTTGTGTGTGTGAGCATGTGAGAAAGGGGGGCCAGTGTGCAGAAAGGGACACAGCAATACCCAAATTTTTAAAGATGTTCCAGGGGCTCTAAATTTCCTTGAGTTATGTAGCAGAATAGCTTTTTAAAAAGCTTTAAAAACTACATATATTTTAAAAAATAATCATGTGACAGAGGATAGTTTTATTTTACTGGGCATTTGGAGAAAACGAAAGTCACAAAATAAAGAATCAGTCGGATTCAGAGCTGCAGTACGACAGAGGTCTCTAGAACATGGGGTTCTCATGGGCCCTACCCGACGCCGTTTACGGTCAGTTGATTGCTTCATTTTCTCCTTCTAAAAACTGTGAACATAACCCAGAATGCATTTGAGTTATTTCCTGAATGTTCTTCCACCTGCATGGGTTTTTTTTTCTTTTTTTGCCTTTGAGTTGGTGTAGATGATTTTACAGTATATGTTTGGAACATTCATAAAAATGCTATTGACAGTCTAGTTTATTAAGTATTTTGTTTCAGCCCAAATTATCCATTCATGTCTCTTAGAAGAAAAGGATCTAAAACGGAAGTCTTTCAGTGCCAAGCACATCCCTTCAAATCATGGGTATCTGGATAGGGAAAATAACGATATGAAAAATGTAACTATTTCAGTGAAAGGGGGTTAAATACACAGGGCACAAATACTTTACTGCAAATAAACTGTGCTGAGTAAAAACAAGTACTTAGAAAAAGCCGTTTGGTAATTACATGAATCCAGAGAAGAAAAATGGCCAATGGCACTGGGTAAAAAGGAAATACGTTTTAAACTAAAATAGCATCCCTTGTGAAAATACTTACCTGTAGTTAATATTATGTTATGATATTATATTATTACAATTACAAATATAATATATATTATATATTAGTATATTATAAAATATATAATATTAGTATATTATAATTATGTTATATTATAATTATGTTATGTAATTATAACATATTAATATTAATAAATAGTTAATATTATGTCACTTCAAAGGAGAAAAGGAGTACTCTATACACAATGAAGGTTGAGGAGTGAGAACGAAATGTTATTCAAAACATGCACACTTGCCCATGAGGTATCCTGTACATTTTTGTGATAAACTTTTTTTTCACCCTCTGCCATATATTTCTTAGTCTGCATAACTTTGAAAGCGGTAATAATGTTGTCCATTGGAGAAAACCTTGAAGATCCGAAAAGAGAAGAAATGAGTCCTTCCTGTAAGCAAAATTCAGCTTACGTTGTTCAGGGAGAAACTTTTTGCAGTTCTGAATTTATGAAATACTTTAGGACAAGACTTAAATCTAAGACCTAGAAGTGTATCTGCAGGAGGATGGAGAAGATCCAGCCGTATCTGCCAGAGCCGTTTTCCAGGGCCATTGGAAAGATAGTTCCTTAAGGTTCCAGGCACAGCGTCCTTAAGATGTTGCAGAGCATGACCCGGTCAGGAGGGATGGCTGCTGCGTAAATGGAACAGGAAGGAATCCGCGCTGGGTCTTCCTATCAGCATTGCCAATGTCACACACAGAAAGCAAGTGACAGCTTCTGCTTGAGCAAGAGCCCTTCGCTCAGCAGTCCAGGACTTGTAGTGGCCAATGTGAAACACTTAAAAGGACCAGAGCCCAACTTTGGTCTTCCCTGATAGAGCCTAAGAGACATACAATTTCCTACCAGTTCTTTCCACTGTGATGGTCACATATGGCCATCATTTCTTTCTCCAGAATTATTTAAGGATGGGCAAGAGGCACTGGCCCAAAATGGACACTAACAAATAATTCTAAACTAACATGATTGATTTCAGGGTTTCACATGGAGAAAACCTGAGAAATGTACATCTTTTCAAATAACTTCTCATTTGAAAACTGAAGAGGATATCTGTGTCGGGAAGTAAAATAGTGAATATATCAAGGCAACATGCATTACTTTCCCCTAACATAATTTAAAACCTCAAATCTCTATGGAAGGGTCCCATTACACTTTCATGTACATTTCTTTAAAAGCTATTTTGTATTTCATGTGGTTCAAGAGAAGCTATGGAAATTTCTTTTTGTGCTCCACAAAGAAGTTGGTAAACGAACTTCTTAGAGCTCCCCCAATATGGCTATGGAATGTCTTCTAGCCATATTTTCTTTCTAAGAATATTGTCACGATTTCTTTTATACATGTTTTTCCTACAGCAATTTGTCATTTGAAGCCTAAAATAAAACCTCCATTTGTTGCAAAGTGGGGTATGTTCCCCCCTCATAAACCATTAGTGAGCTATTTCTACTACAGGACTGGCATTTTTGCTAATTTTTTTTTTTTTTAATTTGGAGTCAAGGGAAGAATAATTGCCCAGTTTTCACAAACAATTTCAGAGGAAAATAAGTGCACTTGGAACTATTCAGTTCTGTCTACGGAACACTGACCACATTCTTACTAAATGCCACAGAAGCCCAGAAGATACAATGACCAAGATCGCTGTCGTGTCCCCCTGGGACATACAACTCCTTTGAGTCTGAGTACAGCTCCCAGGTGAGGAGTCTGAAAAGGCCTATTAAGTATATTTCTAAACTGTTACGTCCAAAAACACTTCCCAGACACTGTTTCTAGATTGTTTTAAGGATAAGCTTTTTAAAAAAAAAAATTCAAAGCCTTAGAATCATGTGCCGACGCTAATGCTGATTCCTCAGTTATTCAAATGATCAGAGAAATTTTCTGAAGATCTCCTTAAAGTCATTCTCCAGGTTCAGAATTCCGACCAGGGTGTTCATATCTTGATTGGAAGAT